TTACGCAAGCCCCTTCGCCACGACAAGGCAGTGATCCATGAAGGGGACTTCTGAGATACATTTCTCCATGTTTTGAGTCAATATTTCATTTTGTTGTTAGTTTTGTTGTTGTTAAAAGATAGTAAAATGCTGCAGCAAATTATACAAGAAACAAAGCTTCTTCCATGTTGATAGATTTACATTGTTTTGAAACAATGTTTTGAAACTAAACAGATCAATAACCACACTCTTTGGTTTACATCCATTTCATTTTTATTGACTAAGTGTGAAAGAATGTGAAATTCACACTGGATGTTTCCCTGTCTCAACAAATAACTGAGTTGTGAAGTGATAGCAAGAAGACATGATTATAAAATTTGTCTTGAACCAACACTTAATGCTAGGAAACAAGATCATATTCTTGATTATTAAATCTAACAGAATGGTATATACAGTCCACCTTCTCTTAAGCTCTCAGAGAAAGAGATACACAAATGTTACATTATGTCATGTACCATGTACAAAGTTATATTTGACTTCCATCACCATGTCCTCTTGTGAGCAGAATTTCTCTATTTTTATACAGTGTATAGCCTGTGTGGTGTTTCCAGTTACATATGCATATAGTATATACCATTCTGATAGATTCTTCCTGCAATTTATTTATTTATCAAATTTATATGCTACTCATCTTACTATACAAGTGACTCTAGGCGGCTTACGCATAAAAGAGGATAAAAACAATAAAAAATCTTTACAATATATGTATGTATGTATGTATGTATGTATGTATGTATGTATGTATGTATATATACAGGGTTAAAAGACGAGGGAAGCAACATCAAACCACCAACCACCCCTAGTGCTGCGATCCCCTATTAGATCCCCATGCTAGGTGGCAGAGCCAGGTCTTCACGCTCTTCTGGAAAGTCAGGAGAGTGGGAGCCAGCCTCACCTCAGGGGGCAAGATGTTCTACAGGGCGGGGGCAACAACAGAGAATGTTCTCCTCCTTGACCCCGCCAATTGAAATTCTTTAGCTGATGCGGTCCACAACATGCCCTTCCTGCCAGACGGGGTGGGATGGGTGGATGTAACTGGGACGAGATGGTTCCTCAGGTAACCTGGGCCCATGCCATGCAGGGCTTTAAAGGTAATAACCAAAACCTTGAATTGGACCCGGGAGCAACTGGCACCCAATGTAACTCATGCAGCAGAGGTGTTACACGTGCAGCCCTAGAAGCACCCGTAACTGCTCATGCTGCCGCATTTTGCACTAGTTGTAGCTTCCGGATACTTTTCAAGGGTAGCCGCATATACAGCATGTTGCAGTACTCCAAATGGGAGATGACCAGGGTATGAATGACCAAGAGAAGGACTTCCCAATCCAGGAAAGGGTGCAACTGGCATGCAACACAAAGTTGAGCAAAGGCCCTCCAAGCCATGACTGCCACCTGCTCCTTGAGCAGGAGTTGTGAGTCCAGGAGGACCCCCAAGTTGCGCACGGGTCTGTCTGGAGCAGTGCCACCCCATTCCACAAAGCAAGGGCCTAGGGCTCTACCGCTCCCCTCCCACCAACACTGATTGCAACTGACCTTGGAGGAAGGAGAACCACTGCAAAATGCTGTCTCCCACTCTCAACCCCTTAGCTGCTCCAGAAGGATACCATGGTCAATGGTACCGAAGGCTGCCAAGACATCAAGGAAAGCTAGGAGGGATATACCACCCCCCATTCTGAGCTCGCCAGAGATCACTGACAAGTGTGACCAAAACTGTCTCCATAAAGTACCCAGGTCTGAATCCTGACTAGAAAAGGTCCAGATAATCTGCTTTTCCCAGGACCCTCTGAAGCTGGAGGCCAACCACCTTCTCAACAACCTTCCCTAAAAAGGGAAAATTGGAGACTGGATGAAAATTGTTCAGATTGGCTGGATTCAAGGGTGGCCTCTTGAATAGGAGGCACACCACCCCCTCTCAAAGAGGCATTTACCATTGCATGGATCCACCCACATGCTCCCTCCCTGGCAGCCTTGACCAACCAGGAGGGGCATGGATCTAATGCACAGGTGGCCACACACCTACAGCTCTGAAAAACCTGTCCACTTCCTCAGGACCAACAGGCTCAACCCCTCCCAGATAACATCACAAGATCATGCCTCCATCACCTTCATAGGACCTGCCCAGCTAAAGTCCAACTCAGAGCGGATCCAAACCGATGATAATCAGTCTCGATGGTTTTAAAAGGGAAGGATTAAGCTATCTATTGATACTGATATAGATAGTTGTTTATTATCTCTTAAATCATAGGCAACATGCCTTAATGGTAGCTGGGAAGTGACAGTGGAAGGAAGCTATCCCTCTATCCCTTTCTAGTCCAGGCTTGTGCACTTTCCAAATGCAGTTGGTCATTATACACACAGAATACTGAACTAGATGGATTTTGTAATATATTTGTAATTTATTATTATAGGTTTGTAATATATTATTGTCTGGCAAAGTGGCACATCATAAGATATAGACCACATTCCTTTCCAATGTTTTCAATTTCATTTCAGATATGAGGTGTCTTCATCAAATGCTCAGAATGGAGATCTGATCTCATTATGAATCTGATATAAATATCTAGTTGAACCAGAGTTCACTGGCAATGTAAAATTTCAGTACATATACACCTACCTCCATTCAATATGAATGCCCACCCAGAAACCAAGAAAAAAATCCAAAATCTTAGCATAAGACAAAATTCCCACAAGGTAAATGCTTTGGAAAGCAGAAGCCATATGAAACTGAGACAACCTGAAATGTGTCTATTAACATTGTACAAATGTTGGATAATCATTTCCACTTAAAAATAGATTTTGATTTGTCAAACTGAAAACTCACCCATTTTTGTAAACAATATACAATACGATTTACATTGGATTCACAAGCTCCGTTAAATATTTAGTTAAATATATTTAGAAGCAGAAATTTAGAAAGCAAAAGCAAAGCAACGGATACTTTAAGAATGAAATTTAGCTTATAAAGAAATAATGAATTCGACTGAAATTTCTGAAAAGATTAGGCAGATATTTTACTAGAGAGCTTTTTGATTGTGACAACGTAAGAGATGTTCATAAGATGCTCACCTCTGCAATCATCCTGTTTGTGTCACCTAAGAAAAGCAGGTTCAGAGCTTCTTCTTCATTGGTTGCTTGCTGCAAAGAGAGATGTTTCAGATGAATGTTCTGATCAGGATCCTCCATTATTGTCACCTTTCTACATGAAAAAATTAAAAAGTGAAAATATGTATGGATTTTAGTGTTTTAATCATAAATTATAAAGAAGTATTTATTCAAAAATTTTGCAAAGTTTTGCTAGTAAGTAAATGTACTATTTTCTTGATCACATACATGCATACAAACATACATCTCTCCCTCTCCAAATGTTTAAGACGTAGTAGCTCTGGCTACTAACAACAAGGTTTCCCAATAAATGAAATGTGTATTTCAGAATGATTTACTCCATTGAGAGAGAAAATTGAGTTGTTCAATATTAAAGATATAAAACATTAATAATTTTCTTATACTCCCCTTCCCTACTCCCTGTGATGAGGAGGAGAAATCTTTAGCAGATTCTTGATTTGTAAATACGGTAAACCAGGAAAACTAGTTTAAAGAAAATTCTACTTTGCTAAACAATCAAGCAGAATGCTTGCTGTAGGCTTGTTTAGACACTGGGTTCCCTGGCAGAAGAATCTAATGGGAAAAGGAAGTCAGTATGAGTCATAATTATTTAAAAAGGAAATAGAAATGGGTATAATCCCAGAAAACTCAATGAAGAAAAAAGATACCAAATGCCAGAGTGGCTGCATAAAAAGTAGAGCTGTATTGGAAAATAAAGGACACATACAAAATTCAAAGGTAGTAAAGATTTCCCTGAGTCAAACTTGATGCTTACACATACATGGTCATGTAGGTTTTTTAGCAACAACACTGAAGTGGCTTCTTATTGCCTTCTTCTAGGATGGGTTTCTGTTTTTGTTTGCTTGTTTTTGCTTTTAAATTCCCAAACTAGTCTTCAGGCATGGGATTTCTTGGTTCTCTCCCAGCGAAGTATTAACCGCATTCAACCCTGCAAAGCTTTTTGACATCAATCAAGATTGGATAACTATTTACAGGCTAAAAAACATATACTTTCACTGTAGAGATCAGGCTTTCTCAATTGGGGTTCCATGGAACCTTAGAGTTCTGTGAGAGGTTACTAGCGGTTCTGCAATTTTTTTTAACTTCGCACACCATGCAATGCTAGCAGTCACAGCAGTGGGAATTACTATCTGTTGCATCTCAGTGTGCATGGATTGTGTAGGTTAGAAGTGAATTGTATTCTGAAGTTTTTTATATTTTTTGCAATTTTTATGCAGGAGTTCCCTGAGGCCTGAAAATTATTTCAAGGGTTCCTCCAGGGTAAATGTGATGGAATATATCTACGAAGGGGGAGGTGGTGTGAGGGAATACCACAGAGACCAAGGTTCTCAGGAAGGTAGGAGCACATTCCAGGAAAGAAGAGGGGGAGACAAGAGACAACATAGTCCAGAGCAGAAGTGTGGGAAGAAGAAAGTTAAGATAACCACTCCCTAGATTCTCCCAGAGTATATCTATTAGGTTAGCATAGTACATTTTTGGTCTGGCAAGATTCTGTCTATATGGTGTAAGCAATAAAGAACTGAACTTGGCTGGATTGTTTCCCTGTTGTTCTTGGGCTGGGCTGCACATCAATCTTGCCAGACTCATACTCCCAAGAAAGGGGAGGAAAATCTGAGCATGGCCACGGATTCTCAAGGAACACCAATAACTCCACAGCATCTAGCAGCAGCTTTACTGCTGCACCAGCAGCAAGTGGATGCACGGGTCAATAGCGAGTTTTTAACAAGATGGGCAGTGACAAATTTATTTTTATATATATATAAAAATACAAATACAAATACAAGCCATGATGCAACAGCTCAGTCAAAACGTCCAGCAACCCACAGGTGGACCAGCAGCAGGGGCGCAGACACTGCTTTTGTGCTCTCTTGGAAGCTTACCAGAGAAATATGGAGAGGATGTGGACCAATTAAGAATCTTCCTTACTCAGTGAGATATGTTCATGGACAGCAGACCCACACAGTTCCCAACAGACTGTACCAAGGTGACCTTTGTATTAAGCTTGTTGAAGGAGTCAGCAGTGAAATGGCCCATTCCCATGATTTCCTCAGGAGATTTAGAGGTCATTTTGGCAATCACATCCAGAGGGTCACAGCCAATCAGGAATGGAAGAGAGAAATAAGGGGGCATCTGAATGTTCTGGAGAGCATACCTCCTACATTCATATAATGTATTATCTCTTGCCATGGAGGTAGAAGGCTAAAACATTTTAGCAATCAGAATGACCATAGAAAATCAAAGCTTAGAATGGGCTAGTAATATTGTTGCTGTTACTGAATCATTATACAGACCAAATATACCATAAATATGAAGAGTCAATATATTATTGCTTTAAAGAACAAAATATTTTAATGATGAAGTCTCCAATAGAAGGAATATAACACCATGACCATGTCTGATTGGTTGTACTGGCAATCAGCTACCAGTCAAACTCAGGTAATAGACTTCTGGAGATCACTCTACCTAGTTTGGTCCTGAAGAATGCAGGATGGTTGTGGACTTAATGTTTTCTGGGACATGGTACATTGCTAAAGAAAGGAAGTAAAAGAAACTGCAGCCAGTGAGCCATTTGGGGAGTAACCTTTCTAAATAATTGCATATTTTTTCAATTCTTTTCATGTGCCTTGGGAGACTCTGTGCATAGTCAGGTAGCGCTAGGTATGTCTAGGAAATATAGACCAGGTTACTGAAAGCTAAGAGCATGTTGCTTTCAGTATTAAAGCAGATAGCTTGGGAACTGTAATACCTTTATGGACCTGGAATAATAAGTGACACGATATTTCTAAAACAAGAAGTCCTCAGATATTCTGTTCTTTACTAATTCTACAACTTGGCTGATGCAACTGAAGAACTTATACAGCTCAACTTGGCTAATATTGTTTTACGCATATTCCACTTAGCTTTAAAGGAAGTCTACAAGTCTTTCCATCTACTTAGCCAAATGGAAAACATTCTTTGTTTATAAAGAAAACAAAAAACTTGTTTCTGCCTCCTCTGTCATTATGAATAAATTAGCAGTACTTTTCCACATCAACATCCAAATTAGAAATAAAACACATATTCATTTTTACTTGTAGAAAGGAATTAGAAGATGAACAGAAATAAAGCTTTCGATACAATTGCAACATGAGAGATAAAATATTGGATAGTGCCATTATTTCCAGTTAATTTTTTTTTCTATCTTGACAAAGAGACCTTTTAAATAGTATTCCCACCCAATATAGAGTCTTCCACTGTCGAAAAAGGTTGCATTTACTATTCTAATATTCATATTCACACACACACACAAGCAAACATATTAATATAATATATTAATACATACACACATACATACATATAACAGGGATACAAAAGTCTAGTAGCAACCTAGATTCTACTAGCAGTCTTTGCAGGCCAAAATGCTCTCTCTCTGCAAATGGTTACAAAAATCTGTTGAAGCCCTGTCCAATGTGTAGATGTGATTTTTTTTATTATTATTTGTCCATGAAAAATCTAGGAAAATTACATTATAGTCTTGAATTATTTATTTCAATGCTATTTATTTGATTCATTATATAGAATTATGAATTTGAAATAAAAAATTAGACACAAAACCAGCAGTATTATTTGTCACAGCAATGCTACAGAACTTTAATTTGATTGAAACTTTATTTTGATATAATACACATAGACAGAGACACATAGAATGTAGCAGGTCACCTAATGAGAACTGGAACTAGGGGAAAAGGAAAACAGTTGTGCTGATTTTTAAAAAAATGTATTACTCACGGTAAGTCTTCTAGTTTGGAGGCTTCATGCCGTGGATCTAGCAGATCATAACCACACTCATTGTAGATTTCTAAATAAGAAATATGTGTGGTATATACTTTACTGCTATCCTGAATTAAAAGGAAAAAATATATTCAATAATTGTCTAAAATTTGGATATTAGCTAATTTGTGTTTTTACTTTAGTACTGTATAGGCTTTATGTTTTAATTATTAGAGTTTGTCTTCTCTATCTGGCTAGATATCTCCAGTACATATCATCAAAAAGACATCCATGGTAAGGAATTCCAGCAAGATAAAACACCCAAAATACAAAAACACTAAAATACAATCCATCCTAACGATACTACATTAAAATAAAAGACTGAGCTATCATCAATAACCCAACTAATTAGGCTAAAAAGTAAAAAAAAAAATAAGGTACCAATAATGATAACAACAGATGGTGAATCAATTAATTCCCAAATGTTCTCCAAAAAAGCTCAATTTTTGTCATACCTTGGAAAGCTAGTAAAACAGGGGCCAATCTAATTTCTGAGGGGAGACTGTTTCCTATAACCAGTGCAATAACATAGAACCCACTCACTTTACTGAAATGGGGAACAACCAGCAGCTTTACCAGGGACAAGTATAATATACAGGTCAATTCTGGTTAGGGAAGGCAATCCCGCAAATAACTGGTGCCAAACTATATATGGCTATAAATGTCAAAACCAGTATTTTGAATTGCATCTGGAAACCCACTGGCAATCAATGGAGGGCCTGCACCACCAGTATTATGTGCCCTTGGTAACTCACGCCTGCCAGTTAGTAGGCTGCCACATTCTGTTCGAACTGCAGTTTCTGTGATCTTCAAAGGCCGTCCCATGTAGAGTGCCTTACGGTAGTTTGTATGAGCAGTAATGAGAGTATGAGTTATTGTTGGGAGGTCCTTACATTCCAAGTAAGATTGCAACTGGTACATCAGCTGGAGCTGGGCAAATGCTCTCCTAGCCACAGTCTCTACCTGTCAAACCCATGAGTCCATGTAATGGTATGTGGGAATGACTTTGGGAGATGGGGGAAGAGCACAGCCAGGAGAATGGTTGGATAAGAGGCAGCTTAGCCCGCAGAAGGAATGTGGGCATGGCAAACATCTCAGAAGGGACCCTCTGTAGTTTCTTGGGCTGTAAAGGTGACGGAGGAGAAATGTACTTTCAGACTTGCAAGATTCTGTTAATGTAACCTTACAATAAAGTAGGTTTAGTTCAATTGGGTGTGCTTCCTGTCTGGACTATCTCTCAAGGCTGACAGTCCAGGAAAAATCCCAAGCACAGACCTGCTCCTTCATAGCAAGGGAGACTCAGATCTTTTGAGCTGCTATGATTCAGGGATTAACTGTATTACAGTTTTTAAGAGATGTCAGGTAAATTAGTATTAACCTATTTTAAAACAATGTTTTGAGTGGATGGCCATATAAATTGATTGCCAGGTTGATTTAAAACCTTAAGTCAGCTTTCTATGATACAGTACCATTCCTGTATGCATAAAACAATAACTTAGTTGCAACTTGACAATTATGCAATGGCAGAAGGACATAAATAGAACTCAGGGGGACATAAATGTCCGAATTAGCTATATCTCAAATGGTTAATGAATTGATAAATGTGTTATTTCAACCTTTAAGCAAAATTTCATGTTTTCCTTTATAGAATATGATGGAAATTACCCAAGTTCTTTAATTTCCCGATACAGAAATATACAGAACCTTAATCATCCTGAGACTATCCGATTCTTTTATTCCCCAAAAATGCTTTCTCATTCATTTTTCATATTTCTAATTAGAAAAATAAAATGTTTACTATCTCTTGTTTGAAGTTAATTAATAAAAATATTTTTCTTACACTGAAACTTTACCCTAGTTTAGGAAAGTACAATACAAACTTGTGCATAAACTTTATTAGGGAAAAAATTATTAAAAATACAAAGCATATTGATAAGCATGTTCCCTCCAAAACTCCAAGCAAAATTCCCCTTCTGTTTTAACTATAGCTAAGCATTATTCCTATACCAGTATTAAGCATAGCTAAGACTAAGATTTCTGTTTCATAAAGACTTTCCCTAGCTTCAAATTCTGGTATCTAGATAAGTAGAACCCTGCATAGCCTGTGACATCATGCTTACTTATCAAAAAGGTAAGAGAGATAGGTGGAACACATAATCCTGTAGTCACTGCAGAAGTACTACAGTGGTACCTCGGGATACGAATTTAATCCATTCCATGACTCTGGGTGTATCCCGAGTTGGTCGTAACCCGAAGCAAATTTTCCCATAGGGTTCAATGTAAATCTGGTTAATCCGTTCCGCCCTC